AAAAAAAAATTACATCAAAAATTATATCGAGGATTTTTTTGTTTACGATCTTTTGTATCTCGCATATATTTTAATATGATAAAAATTATTGAATATTTTTTAAGGAAATAGAATAGAAATCCAACGACGATTGATAGAACGCAAATTTAATAATAAAATAATGTTAATTAGAAAATAAAAAAAATAAAAAAACACGTAAAACAGAATATAATGGTCAAACGAACGCAGCAGCCAAGTTAAGTGCAAGCAGTACAAATCATAATCAAGGAAAATAAAATGCAAATGAAAGGTCAAAACGTGAGAAATGAAAGCAAATTCAAATTAACAGCAGCATAATTACAGCGTTAATTTAAATTTGCTTCCGTTTTTTTCATATTTTGACCTTTCATTTTTGACGTTTTATTATCCTCGACTATGATTTAATTATTATTGCTTGCGATTAATTTGACTGCTGTGTTTTTTTTTTATCTTTATATTCTATTTTGCATTTTTTCTCATTCTACCATTGAAAAAGACTCGAATTGAGTCCCGGAAAGTTTGATTATAATTTAATGTAAACACATTTATTTAGTATTATTAAAATTGCATTCTCTCTGCCAATCGTCGCTGGTTCCTATTATCTTCTTTTTTATCCTTTGATTTGTATATTTGTGAGCCTATTTTTACGTTTATTAATATTTTTTATAATTTAATATTGCCTAAAGATGTGATTTACACTTTCTAGCCATTAATAGAGAGAATATGATAGTGTTTTATTACACATTAAAAATATTTTAGCACATTCAATTTTATAAATTGCCCATAGATGCTAAAACATCTTTCTTCTTACATTATAATTAACGCATGTGTACAACTAATAAAGTCATGTAAATCACACCGAATCTGTCATTTATTATTTAACTTAATCCTTCACATATGTCAAATGTTTACAAATGATTCAGTGACACAATTCTAAATCATAATAGTAAATAGCAAAGTGAATATAATATTACAAATAAACTCGATAATATGATAACATGTAAGTTGTAATAACAAGAACAAGAAAAAAGTTACTGATAAATGGAATTAAAAATTCTGTGTACCTGTAGTGTGATAAGAAAGTAGAAAACGGGATGTAGTTATTAAACCAATATTTATTTCCAAGCCAATCAATCGTGTGGAAAAATGATTGCAAATGATAGAGCGATCATTATAGTGTATTTGTTAGACTTATTTTTTATAGCCGCAGCTACGCCTACGGCCTCTTGCCCTCTCGAATTTTCGGCCCTTAGACCGCACGTACGGTTTCGAGTGGGAGTGCGGTACACCTGGTGCCGGACCAAAGTGTTTCACGCTCTCGCGAGCCTTACGCGGTCCTTGCATCAAAACTGTGCGCTTGCCGGTCGGTGCGCGTAACGCCAGCTGATCAAATGTGATGATCTCGCCGCCGGCTTTTAAGATGCGTGCCCGAGCTTTCTCGGTCACGCGTAAAGCGCATACCTATAACATCAAAATACCAAAATGATCATATATCGTGCATATATCTTATCTTATACTTTAAGTATAACATATAGTAATTTATTATTATATAATATAATTTCAACATTTCTAAATATTAATATATATGTCATATGTACCGTCAATTTTGGGATTGCAAAAATCCTAGCATCATCAGTGACAGTACCAACGATAACAGCAACACAGTTCTCCCGCCCAGGTTTCTTCATGAATCGCACAATACGTGAAACTGAGATAGGTGGTCGATTAATTTTGCTCATGAAGAGTCTTCTCAGTATAATCTGGTTGAATTTGGCATTTGTTCTCCTTGCCAGAAACCGATATAGCTAGAATATAACTTCTGTTATCACCAGGATTTTACAATATAAATTTACAGTTCTCAAACTTTAACTCCAGAGCTTTCCAGCGTCCTTTAGAAACTTTACCAATTTCCAAAGAATGATATTGTCATGTCTTCTTAAGAGATTCCACAAAATTTTACACTGGAGAAAGTTTGAAAACGGCAAGTTCACAATAAGCAAAAAATTCTAGTAGAAATACATGTGTCAACTATAATAATCGCCTTTTTATTTTGCAAACAAGCGAGATAGGATAGTTGACATGCGTTTCTCTAGCGAACTTTCAAAATTGAATCAGTCTATGTAAGATCTGACACAGAGTGCAGCTCGCAAGAGTTAAGTTTGATGAATTACCCTCCCCTACTCCGTACAAATTTTAAGTTTCTTTCACTTTGTTCGATTGATAACCGAAAGATGATGAAAGATACGATCGGAAATTCTCTGTTGTCTCACGTGCAATAAAGATGCGAGAGCTAACCTCAATGAGATACCAACACGAAATAATGGACGCACTCTTAATTAGATTCGAATACAATAAAATCGAATATTCTTATGCCAAAAAAATATTTCGATTAGTGCTTAACAAAAAAGATATATATTAATTAATAAATAATATAAAAAGAGAAAAACACACTCATTTACCTTGACGAGAAGACGTAAATATACATCTTGCGACTTGGGCTCCGTTCGTCGCACTTTCCTGTCATGTTTATGATTAATATCGATACCCTGCGAAAAGAAATACGCGTCATTAATTGAATTCGAATAGTTTAATATTTGATGAGCGAGTTTTATTATCCCGATTGATTGGCAACAAATATAATATAGTCAGATTTTTCGACCAAATCGGGCATCGTCGCACCGTCTTACCATTTTGACAAACCGGAAAAGAAACCACGCACGCGAGACTCGTGTGCTCTAAAGAGCGGAAATGGCAGAGGGCACTGCCGGGGTTATTTTTCCCGGTGAGAGAAACACCATAGAATAAATATACATAGTAGAGTGGTGATAGAGTGTCCACACGTGATACATTTTGAAAGTTGTCAAGGGAGTTGTCAAATTTGATTGGTCTCACAAGGGAACCTTTCAAACCCGAAAATTCTGATTTTGATGAAACTTTACTTATATGTAAGAGGGAGGGGGGTCAAGAGATGAATTTAGAAATTTTCAGTTGCGGCCCAAGAACGGTTTTAACAATAAAAAATGAAACCACCCCTCATATATAAAACAGCTTTTTGCTTTTCTCGATATATCTCGAAAACTATTTGAGATATTAAAAAATGTTTTATACAAAAGTTTCATGGTAAAAACAATTCTATTTAACTACATTAATAAAAATTTGAAAAAAAAATTTTTCAAAAAAGAATTTCCAGAAATTAAAAAAAAAATAATGTGATTAAATAGAGCTGTTTTTATCATAAAATTTTTGTATAAAATATTTTTTAATATCTTAAATAATTTTCGAGATATATCGAAAAAAGGGAAAAGCCGTTCTACATATGAAGAGTGCTTTCACCCCTTAAAACCGTTTTTGGGCCTCAACTGAAAATTTCTAAATTCATCTATTAACCCCCCTCCCTCTTACATATCAGTAAAGTTTCATCAAAATCAGAATTTTCGGGTTCACGCGGTTCCCTTGTCAGTAAACTGTCAAGTTCAATATTATAATATAATGTGATTGGCGCATCCATATTTTGGTCGCGGAAAGCGATGCGTACTGAAAATTGACCTCATTTTTTTGGCTACAGTGTGTACTTTTTCTATGGAAACACCTGTTTCCCTGGGCGCGATTTGGTTCCGTGATAAGCGAACAGAGTGCGTTGGCGCATCATCCGCGTCGGCGTGTCAAGTATGCTTTATGTCAGTCGGGTTAGCGGCGAGTTTTAGGTTAATCGACGAGACCGGGCGAGAGCGCGGTGTGTGTCCAAAGTGCCATTAAGTAGTCGTCCGACAATTTTTCTATCGACGACACCGCGCTCTCCGACGAGGAAACGTGTAGTCGAACGGTTAAATGACAGACGATTATGGCAACGCCCACTTGTGATAAGAAAGCGAGGGTGATCGTTTTAGGAGGTGAGAGATATTTTCTATTTTATATATGTATATATATATATATATACTTATAGATGTACGATTTATACATACATATTAATTGTGAAAGACT